CCCCATACAATTGCAACCCCCTGATTTTGACCCCATTCCCTCCTTTCCCTGCCCCCCCCAACAAAGTGTGTCTCTGGTTTATAGTTGTTTGTTGATTTTGATTTTTTTCTTTCTTATAGTTATTCTTTTTCCTGGTCCCTTATTTAGGTTTTCTAGATTCCTGCTATGAGCGAGACCATCCGGTATTTTTCTTTTTCTTTCTGGCTTATTTCGCTGAGCATGATCCCTTCCAGCTCCATCCATGTTGCTGCAAATTGCATGTGTTTATCTTTTTTTGAATGCTGAGTAATATTCCATGGTATATATGTACCACATCTTCTTGATCCAGTCATCTATTTTTGGGCATTTGGGTTGTTTCCAAAGCTTAGCTGTTGTAAACAGTGCTGCTATAAACATAGGGGTGCAGGTGCTCGTTGGAATTAATGTTTCTGTGTCCTTTGAGTAAATACCTAGGAGTGGAATTGCTGGATCACATGGAAGCTCTATCTTTAGTAGGTTGAGGAATCTCCACACAGCTTTCCATAATGAAAACCTGGTTATTCCTTTCTAAAGAGCATAAAATACTTACATTATCTTAATGATGCCTCCAGCACATGTTTTTCTTTTTTTTACTATCATTATCTGAATTTGAACCCCTCCTAAAAAAATTTCCTCACTCCCACCACAAGCCACCTGGAGCTGGGTTACACATCAGTTCCCTGCTCCAACTGTCTTATGTTTCCCATAGTGACATTTCTCACACTGCAGGTCTCTGACGAGTCACCATGAGCCTTTAAAACAATCTAAGTATAGTAAAAATGTCAGAGTATACCACACACAGTTGAGAAAATGTTTCTCGAAACATTTGTTTCAGTCTAAAACATACAAACACACACCACACACAATGTGTGTATTGGACTGGGGTGTTAAATATATTACCTAGGAGAACTGCCATCAGCAGGATTAAGTATACGTCTGGTATTAAAATTCTCTGAACAGTAGCGGTGAGACCTGAGTTTAATGTGGTGTCTGCTGTACAGTGAATTGAACATAATCTCTCTGAGCTTCAGCTTTCTCAACTGTACAAGAAGGAAAGTAATTGATACAGGCTACGTGAGGATTATATACATGTTTTGAATATTGCTGACATGGTTACGTGACCAGTAATTTTTTCCTACTTATCCATATTTATTTCCTTTCTTGCTCCAACTTTTATCTTCTATTTCCACCAAATTGTTCTCTATTGTCTAAAAATACATTGACTTTTTTCACCTCTACTCTTTTGTTTTATCTTCCTTGTTTATATCACCTTTTAAATCTCAACTTACCTAATTCCTGACCATTCTTCAAAACCCTGCCCAACTTCTGTCTTCTCCATGACATTGCAGCTCCCAGTCATTATCTTATAAGCTCTTTTAGGAGCAGAGACCATATATCTTTAGTCCTGTGCTTTTCTTGGGCTAGAGATTAATGCCATGTTCATTGTGGGAATTTATAGATGGAAAAAAGGGTTCAAAGTCAGCGGCACCACTGGGGATGAATGAGTCCTCTCTACAACTTGCTATTTGAAAAATGCTGTGGGATTTATAGCACTCACCTATGTTTCTTCTCCCCTGACATTGTCTAATATTCTTTCCTCTTTGCTTAAATGAAATGATTTTCATGCCTTAGCTATGACTATTGAGCTGAATGGTAGAAGGCAAAAGAGCAGAAAATGTTAAATGCAAAGCATTTTTTTGGTATGGTAAAGTTTTTTAATTGTCATCTATTAATAGGGACTTTTATGACTGTATATATACATATATATAAAATCTGCTTTTCAAATAAGCATCAATTAGCAGTATTACTGCTGTAAATGTTAATTTTATGGAATCAGCTACATTGAGACATTGTCTCCACTTTTGTAGCCACCAGCTGGCCATGGATATGGAGAATAATATTGAAAAATATCGCCTCAATCTACAGCCCTTGGAATCAAAGGTGAAAATGTAAGTACTTTAAAGTTTATATTAAAGCATTAGTTTTAAATTTGGGGTACAAAATGACACATTTGCTTATTTCACCTTTACACACCACACAGCAACCCTGTGCCCCCCCATAACACCCCCCCCCATTTTAAGTGGCAACACAGCTACTTTGGTCACACAGCACCCTCTGCTGGACACTATGGGGAATTTTGGCTTACCATCACTTCCAACTGCTTGATTTTTCACTTTCAGTCAGAGAAAGGCTTTTCAACTTCCTCTAGCATTTCTCACTGTTTCAGTTTCTTAGTTATTTTACCTTAGTCCAGGATATTTATTAATTCCACATGCACACACATATCTCTTCATCTTACACAAATAAACATCCTTTCAAGCCTTTCTTCCTTTTTCCATTCCAGCTCTGGTCCAATTATTGCTGGAAAAAAAAAGTCTTCTCTTCCTTTCTCATTTTAGGCCTTTTCTTATTGTCTTAAAAAAGTCTCCCCCCACAATCAACTATCAGCATAAAATAGTGCTAGCTTCATCTTAATATTAACAAAAATGAAACTAATAAGATCAAAAGTGATATGGACCATATTCTTGAACAAAATAGCAACCTTCTAGAACCATTTTTAAGCCAATAAAGGGTCTGTTATAATCACCATAGAAGCACTTGTAAACTGTCTATGCCTGCTCTCTGATCCTTTCTCATTCCAATTTTCCTTCAGGTTTGCACATAACAGGCATTGAGGGTGTGTATCATTTCACACACATGCACACACACACACACACACACACTGAACAATCTGAGAAGCACATGCATGTGCTCATGTCAAGACCATGTCTGAGCTGGACCAGGATCACTGATCATTTTCAAAAAGAATCAAAGAGGAATCTTTTAGAAAAGCAGATACCCTGAAGAAGGGAGACTTGAGGAGTGCAGAATTGAAGAATGAGTCTTGCTGAATTTAGGATTTGAAGCAGATCTGAGGCAGGTGTATAGTCATATCCCAATGGATAAAAGCAAATATTAACACACAGCCTGCAGATCAATGCTAATCTTGGTTATCAGTGGGCAGCTTGCCTCTGAGGGAGCACACAGGACTGTCTCTGAAGGTCAAGTCAAACTTGGCTTCTGACCTTGTTAGGTCCCTGCCAGGAAGCTCTGTATCACACTTACTAAGTGAACCAGGCTGCCAAATCATTTCATGTAAGCAGTGTTCGGCTTCACTACACAAGATGTTAGTTTCTAAGCATAGGTTGATTTATCCTTAGGCATTTTCTCATTAATATAGTGTCCTCTTAAATGAAAAAGTGCTGGAAAGGAGAGTTGGTTGTGTGAAAAATTAGAGAGCTTACTTTGAATGCTGAATGAAGTAGGAACCCTCATCATCTCCAATAATAGGGGTAGAGGGAGGACGCCAGCAGTGGGACCAGGCAAAGCAAACATCTCTGTGGAGGTTCCAGCAACAGAGTCTGGCATGTTCTGTGCAGTTGGTTTTATAGACAAGTCACAGCTCAGTGAGGTATAAACAGAATGGTTTTATCTTTTCTAATAACACTGAACCCCATTTCCACTCATGTGGTGGGGGGCAGTGAGAAGGAGAAAACTTAATCTTGCCCAATAATGGAATTTGAGTCCCATCAGAGAGTTTAGTTAGTTCAGTGCCTTTTGCTTCATCTGGTTATTAAGTTCTTAACTCTCATGACTGGGTGAGCATCTTCCACACCTCAGACCTTTCCCACCATTGTGAGCCTGTCCCCTCCTGCCCTCTCGTTTTCCCACCTTTCTCTCCTCCCTTCTCTCTGCCCTACTGCCAGGTGCCAGACACCAAGGCTGGCCTGGGATCCAATGGAAGTGAACACTTGCTCCCAGAGTTGTTTCCTTGAAAAGAACTCTAAGAACTGGGACCCATGGAAAGCATCATTGGGTGTCCCCTGAGCCCCAATCAGTGGGGTAGGCTGCACCCCTCACTGTCTTCCCAAGCTGACCTCAGTATCCTCACAGGGAGGACCTTGGGATGCCCACATCCACACTTCTCAATGGGGCCTTGCCTCAGGTTCCAGGGCCACCCTCAGACTTCACTGGCTTTGTCTGAGTATCTACTGACCTCTGTTGCTGGGTTCAATGGCACTTCACAGTGCTCCACCGAGAGAGAGAAGTGGGGGTTCCTATACTGTAAAATCTGCTTCCTGGCAACACTCCCCCCCATGAGGGAATGGGAGGGTCTGATGCAGGTTTACTGGACAGTCCAGCCCCTACAGCCCTGCAGAGGGTTGTGCCTTGCCAGGCAGTCTCTGCTATAAAAGACAAGGCCAGATGTGGCCTGATCCCAGGAGTGGGCTCTGCAAGATGTAACTGCACTGTGGGAACCCAAGTGTGGCTGGGGATAGGGAAGGGTATTTCCCCACACTCAGAATACCATAATTTTGATAAGAAGGCTGAAACCCATATGTGACAGTGTGAAGTGTCCATGGGTAGATGCAGAAGCCTGCAGGGGAAGAACATATGTGTTGGGTGGGGAGAGGGGGGTGGAAGCATAGAATTTAGAGTAATGTCAGGAAGGTGTGTTACCTGGCTTGTGAATGCTACCTCTAGGAGGTAATTCTGAGTTTTCAACTTGGGGCTACAAAGGACTGTGTCAAAAAGGCAAAAGCAATCAAGGTTGCACAGCTGTTAATAAAAAGTCATTTGGGGAAGGTGGGAGGCAGGCTTCCTGCAGCTCAAGCAAAGGCAAGCTGCCCGAGTCAGAAAGCTAAGTGACAGTGAAGGGGATCCTGGAAGCCCCACAAAGCAGGCTCTCGGCCCAACCCAAAGCGAACAGATTTTGCCATTAAGAAGCCAGGACTGGAACGAGACTCAGGATAAAGGTTCACATTGAAGGAACACAGGCTGCATGCAAGGAAGGACATGTGCTCTGCAAACCCATCTAGCCACTGCCACATGGGAGTGGCACCTTGTGTGTCGTACTGAGAAGTGAAACACTTCCCCATCACTTACAGGTTGTCCCTGAACTGTGGTAATCTCCGTCCTATGTTTTAATGATGTTTATCTTAGTGCTCACACTGGCAGCATGTATACTAAAATTGGAAGGCTACAGAGAAGATTAGCATGCTCCCGTGCCAGATGACATGCAAATTTGTGAAGCATTCCATATTAAAACAACAACAATATATTTGTTTTGTTAGGGAAAAACATAGATCCATAGAACAGAAACCATCCTTTTAAAGGTCTGCTCATTAAATATATTCAATTCCTTTCCTTATTTTGTATTAATATATTTGATTTTCTGATGATGCAACATTTAGATTCTATAAAGGAAAGAGAGACAGAGAAAATCTAGAGAATGAAGACAATCCCCCAAAGAATGTCAAAGATGTTTTACAATACAACCTTGTCAAGTTGCATTTGAGTTGCCTGCCAACATCACTCAAGAGTTGAAAGAAGTTGAAAGAAAAGAGTGTTTGAGAACACAGACTTTGGTTCAAACCCCACCTCTGCTCCTTACCCATTGTGTGGGCTTGAGCCCCAGCCACTTTCCTCTGTAAAATAAAAAGGTCAGTGTGTCAGTCCTGAGTGACAAGAGTCCTAAGTGACCACCAGGATCTATAAAACAAAAGGAACCTGTGAGGATGGCTGGCTCTTGTGTTTGAGTTAGCCCTCTTTGAAGTGGGTACCCTATGATATGGATGCCTCCACATCAAACTTGGTTCAGGCACTTGAATTACAAGAAGGAAATGTCAACTCTGAGCGCTTATGGTGTAGATGACCTCATGCAAAGCCATCTGTCCCTGTCCCACTCGGTTTATGTCCAGCTTTGCTTGCTGCTTTAAAAGTGCCACATTGCCCCCTGGTGTCCAGTGAACTAAAATGCAATGCCAGATACACCTCCCTACCCCCCTAAACCACCCCCCCCCCACCACCCAGCCCCCAAGAGATACCTTTTTACAAATTTTCCCCTTGCACCACTTTGCTTTTACTAAAAGTCCTACATTAGTATCTGGCTTTGCTAATGGAAAGTAATTGGAAAAGGATTTCCACTTTTATAACGAAAGGCAAAAAACAAAATAGCATTGTTTTGCCGCAGCACCCAGAGAGCAAGAATGACCCTGCCAGGGTCATTCCAGGGCCTTTCCCTGGAACTACTGTCAACAGGCTGTGGATTTATCAGAGCATTACTTCTTTTTCTTTTTTTTAAGATTTATTTATTTATTTATACAAGCACTGGGTACAGTCAGAAGCGCAGGAGGGTGAGAGAATTCATCAGAGCCAGAGAGGGGAGCAGAGCAGGCAGACCGAGGAAGTACACTGTTGAGGGGAGCAGCGGGAGGCAGGAGAGGTCTGCGCGCCATGTGGGACCCTCGCCGGCTGCCAGGGATTGAACCGGCGCTGCAGAGGCTGTGGACAGCTTCGCAGCCCAGTGCTCAACCAATGCGCCACCGGGGAGGCCCCATAGCATTACTTCTTTCACTATATTCTAGTGTTACTTTAGGCTTAATGTATTATTTGATATGGCTTGGTAGGTTTTTTGGGGGGGTATTAGAAATCTAAATTTTTTCTATCTAAATGAAAAGTAATTGCTTCTTTGCTTAACATCATTTTGGCTTAGAAATGTTTCACAGTAACATTCTACTTTCTGAAGCAGGGGAAACCTGTGTCTCAAGTAGCCACCAGATTTCCTTTTTATATTTTTCTCAATAATCAAGGGAATTTAGAAAAAGAGAGAGCATAGAATGCCTGGAAGTCTTATAACATGTGGATATTCTACGAATCATCAGTATTTCCTGATTTTTAAAGTGCTTGGTTTTTTTTCATGTTTCTTTTTTTTAATAATAAATTTTATTAATGTATATTTTTATTAAAGACACATTTAAACTTTTAATCAAAGCCTATTTAAAGAAACTAAATGGAATGTCTTCTATTAATAAAATAGCATCACTGAAAGCCTAAAAAATAAAACATAAAATGATGACCCTTACTTAAATAAAATACTAGTATTATCTTGTGCATTTCCTTACAGATTTAAAATCAGAATAGTATGTGATAAAATGTCCTGTAGTAAGTTCCTGATGGACAGGATTACAGACTTTTGGTGCCCCCAAGTGGCAGAATTTGTTAGCATGGCTCTGGGAAACACTTAGGCTTCAAGTGCATCTGGTGATAGAGAAATCAACTTCCAAGAGTTAGCTACTCCTTACATAAAATGGGTCCTGAAAGAAGCAGGGGCTTCCCTCCCAAACTCAGGTACATCATCTTGCAGTAAGTTCTTTGAGAAGTTTAAGTTTAGTTTAAGATCTTTAAACCAAAGAAAAGGAAATAAGTATGCATTTTGAATAGGTACTACAAAACAAAACAGTGACATATTGCCCCAAACTGAATCATATCCTGCTTTAATGGGACCTGAAGGGTTTATATAATTTGGAGGAAGCTTTAAACATCCAACAAAATGTCTACTTTTGCAATTTCATACAAACTATGAGGAATCCCTTGCAGGATCTTTGAAGAAGCTCTTGGCTCTATCTAAGGAGGGGCTCCTGGAACTTCAATTTCAGAGCTTCAGGGAAATTGGACTCTGATCTAAAAGTATTGGTTCACTGAAGCTTATGAACTTTTCCTTGAGTGTTATAATTCACAGAGGCTTATTCAATTAGGAAATGTGTATTTAGTAATGTGGCAACATTTTTGTGTTCTTTATATTGTCTGTTGAGAATTAATGATTTTTGAACCATTTTAATTAAATGAAACTAAATCAATTGGTTTATACAGAAACAACTGTTTATACAGAAACAACTGACTTCAGTTGTGTGTGAAAGTGTTACAGAAGATCAAATGCTTCCATGGACCTAGAAGTGATAGTGATGGAATCCATGTATTTTCAACTGTTTTAAAAGACTAAATCCTGACAATTGGTCTTCATTTCTAGTAACCTCCAGGAAAGGACAAATTGTGTATACTGGTCCCCTGTGAAAACTTAGATGTTAATCACAAAGATTAGAAGTCAGTCTAACTAGGGAAACAATTACTTAGCTTTGTCAAAGAAGTTGCTGTTATCTAAGGCAGAAAGTGACTTTTTCTGATACTAATAACTAGAATAAAAACCTCCCTATTTTATTATATATTGTACATGTGCTATATAATATATATCTAGTCACCTGATCACAACACATGTAGCTTTCATTTTCTGAACATATACAACACCTTCAGATAGCTTGTCCTCTCTGCCCATTTCTTCCTTTCTTTACATTATTTGTCTCCTTCCTGAATGTGTAAAATCAGTGACTGCAGGGTATTGCCTGTTTTGTCCCAGAGCAGGCTCACTGCTGCTTCTCCTGTGGATCATCATGGGGAGAACTTCGAAGTCCATGTGAATGGTGCCCCCTAGAGCTGCTTTTAGTCTGTCTAGATTGACCTTGCATCAATGATGTACTAAGTGAATGAATCAGCAATGTCAGACTATTAATTATTTTCATTGGAAATATAGGATGAGAAACTGAAAGACTGTGTGTCCCATAAATCAAAGTGCATTGACATGTGAAAACCAGTTTCACTTTGATAACTTTTTCTGATTAAGTTGACTTGTAGACTGACTTAGTTCCATAAAGTCTGTGAAAGTCCACCCAGCACATAGAGAGACCTCCAGCCCGTCTGTCTCCCCACCGCTCAGTCTGGTGCCACAGTCTCCCTGGCTCCAAAGCCCGTCACTTCAGACTCCTCACATACTTTCTGAGCCCGTGCAGGGGACTTGGAGTGACGGTGTATCTGCCGGCTCTTTGCAGCATTCAGCGAGCATGGCGCGAGTACCTGCAGCGACAAGACCCCCTGGAGAAGCGCAGCCCGTCTCCACCCTCGGTGTCCTCAGACAAGCTGAGCAGCTCGGTCAGCATGAACACCTTCTCAGACAGCAGCACGCCGGTGAGTGCCCCTCCCTCTGCTCTGCCTGCCAATCACAGGTCACCAAGGCTTTGCCTGCTCAAGGTAAGTCTTGGGTGTGAGCAGGTGGCTTGTAAAGAAAATCTGTGCTGCTTGTTTGCTCTCAGTGAGCAGTGGGGAGAGGGTCCTGTCATTTGAAAACCAAGCACAGTTCATAAACACCACATGAACTTTATCTTGTGTGAGGGAATTGATGGCTTGAAACCAATCTAAACTAATTTGTGTTCTCTTATTGTGGAGAAATTTCTCCTTTATATCAGCCTGTTCCTTTTAGGCAGTGCCACTGGTGGTGTTTTTTGATACTAACATAATAGAAAATTAGCTTGGTCATAAGGATTATAAATAAAGAGGACTTTTACAGGAAGACTTGAAAGGGGTCAATTCAGGTGGTGCAACTCAAATGCCTCTGCCAGGGACTGGGCGAGTGGCCCCATTATTATGTGGACCCATGGCCCAGAATGGCCATAGAAGGCTGCCCCACATGCAGGGCAGCCCACTGGGCTCCTGAAAGTTGTTGCTATGTGGAATAGACAGGATACACATTTCCAAATGTGATTTTCTTTCTTCAGGAGATGCGAGAAATCCATTTCTTACTGGCAACCAGTAAGAAAATTTAAAATGCAGGTAGACCATGCTTGCAGACCCCATTATTCTTGGGGCCATGAGCCTAAGAACACCAGGTTCAGGGTGATGGTATTAATCTGTTGAAAGTCTTTATTTAAAAACAGACACGCCAACCATGGTGGGAAATAAGCAATCAGGCTATTGAAATGCAGGGTTTTATGACCATCATTTAACCATTATTGTCGTTTACCATAGCCCTTGGGATACTAAGTGAGGGAGAGAATGAAGCCACTATGTGTATCATTTTCAAAAATATCTTCCTTGACTACTTTGTAATGCTGTTTCCTCAGTTGTGAAAGGATTTTCAGTTGCCGAAATAATGCATCCACCTTTGGATGACGCAAGTGTTGCTTTGAAGTGTTTTAAGTTGATTGTGTTGCATATTCCTTAATAAACAAGTGCACCTAGTTATGGACTTAGAGAACGCAAATTGTGTTTATAGCTCAACAAATAAAAGTGTCACAAGATCTGTTTTTAGCTAATAGCAGAAAAAGAATACTTAGTGAATCTGTGTTTTGTACACTTCAGAAAACTAAACAATGTTATGAATCAATGAAATTTTAGTATTTTTAAATTTTGACAATCTGAAGGTAACTTGCTTGCAGAT